GGGACGATCTGCCCCGCAGCGGGCAGCCGATGCGCGATGTTCGCGGCTAAGTATCCGGCTCCGCGCAGCTTCTTGATGTCTCCCTCCGTGACGGAGGAGACCATCCACCTGCCTCCCGCTCCGGACATGGTTGGATAAGGTCGAGGTGGGAGAGCGGACTTGGGCGCTAGAGTTCGAGTGTGCGAAAACGGATGAGCGAAGGAGGAAGAAGGCATGGATAGAAAGGTGAATCCTTATCCCTTTATATGGGCGGACGAAGCTAAGCGTCCCCACTTGCCAGGTAAAACTCGCTTATCCCCCAAGCGCCGTAATTGATGGCGCGGTTGGGTTACCCACGCCCGTATTGATGAGAATCCCGTAATAAGGGGACAGAATCTCTGCTTTGACAAGACGTGTCAAAAAACTGCCTCACGTTATGTGCGGGGATGGTTAAAGGGAACGGTTCGAATAATCACCGAGCCATGACATAACGTCATGCTGCCAAAACAAGCCAGCAAATTAGATCTGCGAAAATATTATTCTCTCTACGGTGGAATGTGGAACTTATTTTGCAGGGTCGGACACTGTCCTCGTATTCAAATTCTTCTGTGATGTATTCGGAGAAGGAACCCGCCTTGCAATGCCGAAGACAATACTGCGCGCCGGACTCATCAGCATTGAAGCCTGGTTCAGGGGCTACTGAGGGAGTCCTGGATTAGGGGGTCTCCGGACAGCTGGACTATATCCTTTGGCCGGACTGTTGGACTATGAAGATACAAGATTGAAGACTTCGTCTCGTGTCCGGATGGGACTCTACTTGGTGTGGAAGGCAAGCTAGGCAATACGGATATGGATGTCTCCTCCTTTCTAACCGACCTTGTGTAACCCTAACCCTCTCCGGTGTCTATATAAACCGAAGGGTTTTAGTCCGTAGGACAACAATCACAACATACAATCATACCATAGGCTAGCTTTTAGGGTTTAGCATCTCTGATCTCGTGGTAGATCTACTCGTGTACTACCCATATCATCAATATCAATCAAGCAGGACGTAGGGTTTTACCTCCATCAAGAGGGCCCGAACCTGGGTAAAACATTGTGTCCCCTGCCTTCTGTTACCATCTGGCCTAGACGCACAGTTCAGAACCCCCTACCTGAGATCCGCCGATTTTCACACCGACAAGGGCCATGATCGAAGAGAGGAAGACCACGCTCGAGGAAAAGAAGATGAAGATCACCGCCAATGCGGAGGACGCCAAGATGTTGTCCTTGAATGTGGCTTCTTTGGATGCCAACGCAAGAATGATTGTGCAATCCGTTCGCTACCAGATGTTGCAGCGGCAGAAAGATGGGCTGATAGTGGCAGACAATGAGGACGGTGCGAAGGCGAAGGCTGTCTACACGATGGCGACAACACATTGATCGGGGAGCAGATGGTTGGGTTTGCCAGTCCGACAAGGCAAAAAATTGCACGGACTGCCAGATTGATATTTTTTTGGATTCGAGCATGTAAAAACTAAACATATCTGCTTCTTTTTGGTTGTGATCGGGCATGCGATGCGGTGTTGGTGTGGTCCGACGCGCTGTGTACATCAGACTAAATTTGAATATCAAATTGCCCTTTACCGGTGAACATATACATGATATCATTGGATGACGGTCTCACGCATCCGTGTCCGCGGACTGTCCCTCTCTGTCCGTGGGCGGACGCCGAAGGAAATTTGCAAGTTGGCGTTGGAGATGACATTATAGAATAAGTTTTAAAATAGTCGAAGACAATTACTCTTAGACAACCACCAATGCCAAGGAGGCAAGCTAGGACAACATTCCTGCTATAACTTACTCCCTCTGTCCCTGTCTCGATCTTAGTAGAACTTTAGTACAGAGTTGTATTAAGGTTGAGACACTTATTTTAGGATAGAGGGAGTAGTTTATGACGTTCTTACTCCCAACTCACATAACAGTACGATTCTTATAACACACACTCGAATGTTGTTTTTGAAATACAAGCCACCTTACAGGCTACTCCCTCCGTTCCGAATTACTTGTCGTAGGTATGGATGTATCTAGATGTATTTTAGTTCTAGATACATTCATTTATGCGACGAGTAATTTGGAACAGAGGGAATATTACATTAGAAGAAGTCAAAAATATAAATATCAAACAGAAACAAGATATCAGGAAACAGCAACCGGTCTTTATTGTGATATTGTCTTCTATTGCCTTCGTTCAACATGGGAGGTCGGCAGACTCGGAGCTCAACACCCAGTCAGCTGTATCTCAACACCCAGTACTGATGTTAACAACAGAGTAACAAACCATAATGAGTACGGCCAAAGACAAAGATGAACTGATGATGTATCGTCTAGTTGAGCACTGTGTGTGCGATGACAACAAGTTCATGCATGTTTCATGAGAAATTCTTGCAGTGTACATACAAGAGAAAATGCTATCAAATTACCCTAACGTACTTGTAGTGCATTAGGTGCTACGATTGGTTGTCTTGAAGTTGCTATATAGGTGTGTTTCTTGTAATCTTGTCTTCCATGCACAAACATATTTGGTTTTTTTTTTTAGCATCGCACAAACATATTTGGTAAATGTTTGGGGACGGAACGCCGGCCGAACCTTCGCCGGTTCCACAGCACGTGTTCAATCCACGCAGATCCTCGGCCCAGCGCACCTCGAGTAGCTGACTAATCTCCTGGGCCCATGACCAACCGTTTCCTTTTTTTTCTTCTCTTGCAACCGATTCTCTTCTTCCTCTAGTTACTTTTTTCTCTCTCCTACGGGATCACAGCATCGCCGTGGCTGCGCCCTTCTCCATGGCCGCACGCGACGGGGGTGAGCACCTGCGGTAGTACGACAGGAGGCCATGGCCTATGAGCTCACAGGCCAGGGGGCCAAGGCTTACGAGCTCCAGGCGGATGACGACGAGGGATGGCCACGAGCTGCTATGGGGGCACAGACCAAAGGACACCCCCATGATGTTGCAACCGGCGTTCTGGAAAGCTACAACCGATGCGGCAAAAAGCTTCAACCAGGAATGATAGATGCTGGAACCGGTCATTGCCACAACAAAAAGCTACATCCGGCGTCACAAAAAGCTTCAATCGGCATTGTAAAAAGCTTCAACCAGCGAACGACGATGCTAGGGCTGGCTGCTACCAACAGGAAAATGCTTCGACAGGGTGTCACAAAAGCTTCAACCGGCATCGCAAAAAGCTTTCACCACTTTTTTTGCTACATCATTCGCGAAGATGATGCAACCTCGACGATGGGGGGCAATGTTTTTTGTGCTGCAAACCACGCAGTTTTTTGCTACCACCGGCGACATGATTTGCTACCACTATACGCAGCAGCGGGCCGACGTCAATATTTTTTTTTGCTACAACCACGTTGTTTTTGCTGCGAACGGCAGCATGGCCGTCGCAGCAGGATTTTGCTACAAGCATGTTTTTTTGGCTGGAACCAGCTCATGTATTTGCTACCACCCGCCCATCAAAATCCTGCTACCACGTTAATTTTGTTGGAACCGGCGAACCATTTTGCTACAACTATTTTTGGTTTTTGTTACTACTGATGTTTTGCGGATTTGTGCTACATCTATCTCCATGACATCATCTGTTTTTTCCAGTCGATTTTTTGCTACAACCATGTTATGATTTTGTTGGAATCGAAGATAAATTTTGCTACATCCACCCATGGCGGTTGTTTGTTCACGGTGGCAATGGCTTTCTTCTTCGATGAGATCGGCAAGCAATTTTTGATACAATCGGCGAGCAGTTTTGCTTCAACCAGCACCTTTTTTTGCTGGAACCTTTGGAATTTTTGCTGGAGCCTATGTTTTTCAAAGATGCAAAGCAATTTTTGATACAACCGGGGAGAAAATTTGCTTCAACCAGTGTCTAATTTTGCTAGAACCAGCAATTCCAAAGCTGCAACAACCGAAGCTTTTTTCGAGCCGTGATAGGTCACCGCGGCGAACTGCGACGGCCACCGCGGTGAGGCGCGCTGCAAGGTTGTCGGTGGGAGGGGGAGGAGGAGATTTGACGCAGCATGGTAGCGAGGGTGGCGACCCGGTTGGCGACCGACGAGAAACGTATGGGAGGCGTTGACCACCGGCGAGGGCGGCGACCGGCGGCGGGGCTACAAATTACAGCGGAGATTGATGGGCACTCGCGCAGCCGGCTCTCGCTGCGGTGTGAGGGGCACGCACACACGCAGGAGGAGGAGGATGAGAAAGAGGAGCGCGGCGGGAAAGAAGAAGATGACCCGAAAGGATAAGAATCAAGCGGCTCAGAGGGGGCCAATCCGACGGCTAGTGCACGACTGGCCCAAACTTTGGGCCGGCGCGCCGGCGCCTAGTACCGCCCAACATATTTTCAGTAAAAAAACATAATATTGAAATTTTGGTGCTTGTTTCTCCAAAAGGAATATATATTCCTGTCAATAGAAATCCCTTCCTAAGTACAAAGTTTATCCTATTTGGGGAGTATTTTGGTCACAAGGTATTGAAACGCTAAAGCGTTGAGTGTTGATCACCTTCTTTATTCACGGCGGCGGTCCAGTCTCATGGCAAAAAAAAAAATCTCCAACTTTTTGTTCTTCAAAGAAACTATGGAGATACATGGCTCCGTTGTTTCTTTACCACTTGCCATTTCATCATTTCATCATTGCTCTTACGCTTCCTACTACTCCCTCCGTTTCTAAATACTTGTCTTTCTATATATTTTAAATAAACTATCACATACGAATGTATATAGATATATTTTAGAGTGTAGATTCACTCATTTTGCTTCGTATATATGTAGTCACTTGTTGAAATCTTTAGAAAGACAAATATTTAGGAACGGAGGGAGTAGAGCAAGGTGCTCCGTGTTGATATTCAGCATCTGTTCAAGGTAAGATAAAATGGTAATTAAACACACAATTTTACTCACAATTCAATCAGTAAGAAAAGATTCAGACAGTTGGTAGTGCCAAATGGTGGTATCTTGAATCGTGAGTTTCATCAAATTCACTCATACCTCTGGAAGCATATGTTGGAGGGTGCGGTGGGTCGCTCACACGTGGAAGTGGAAGTATGCACCAACGCGGTAGGTGGCCATCTCATTTGGAAAGTGAAGGCCGTGGAACGATGACAACGAAACTTATTCTTGAGGCTCATGTCCTTGAGGTCGATGACGAAGTGAGAAAACTCGCTGCTCGCACAGTAAACAGTTGCTAGTCCGGCAGACACCACATGGGCGGAAAACCGCCGGTTCAAGCTGTCCAGCCCACGTAACTGGCTCAGCTTCTCCAACTCCCACGCATGACCACCACCGTCCTTCTTGAGTAGCCACACTTGCAGCATGGCTGTGCCGAGGATAAGCAAAAGGCAACAAGCACCGGCCTCGGTGTCTCCCACGGCGTACGCTGCCGGCGGCCTCGGCAGTTGCGTTGCTAGTGGATGTGGAACTGGGAGGGGGACGATGGAGAATGCCATGGTGCTGGTGTCGAGCAAGAGCGAGGAGTTCCGGTCACGTCTCCAGAAGATGAGCCCGGCCGCGGCGGCGTGCATTGGCCGCATGCTCTGCGCAGGCACGTCGATGCCGTCCACCCACGGGTGGATGCGCCACTCGGGCATGCAGGAGGCGTACTCCATGGCGCGCAACCTTTGGTCGTCTCGCTGCACGGTGACCACGTGGAAGCACGCCGCTGTGCCGTCTTCTCCATGGCCGTCCAGCAAGCAGTCCGATATGTACTCCGCTGCTCCAGGTGGTGCAGGGACGAGGGGTTCGTCGTTCCGTGGACGGGGCACGGCGACGTGCCGGTGGGAGACGGGGTCGTAGAGGGAGAGGGAGTCGCCTCGGGAGAGGAGGAGGCGCCCGTTGCGGCAGTCCCGGAAGCGCCACGCCGGGTCGTCCTCGAGGCGGGTGAGCAGGAAGTCGCCCCCGCGCGCGGCGGCTGCGAGGTCCGGGTCGGAGCGGACGGCGGCCGCCGGGTGGAAGATGGGGAGCTGCTGGAGGTCCGGCTGGGAGGCGAAGAGGCCGAGGATGGGTGACCATGGGTGGAGCTCGCGGAAGCGGCGGAGGAAGGGGGAGCTTGAAGCGATGCCGCGCCAGCGGCGTGAGGCGAGCGCGGCTCGAGCGAGGGAGGCCGGCGACGGGAGGCGCAGCAGGATGTCCTCGATGTTGTCGTCCTTAAGGGAGTCAATGCTGGTGGTGACGGCTGGGCTAGCCTCCGAGGGCTCCATCAGCTGTGTAGCGCGGCGTGGCGGAGCAGCTGAGCTGAGGATCCGCCGGCCGTGGATGTGCTGTGGGTCAGGGCGGAGGCACGAGGGTTTCAATGGTCCTTTGAGCTTCTATTCTTTTTTGCCAGCGAATCGGCCGACGGCAACAAGCGGCCGTTCATACTTATTTAATTAATTGGGCTGGATCAACGGGAACAAGTCTCATGCATTGCTCATATCAAAAATTGTTTCTTTTCTTTCAACTTTTTTTGCTTTTTGTCACTTGTGTTTATCGGTTCCCCTCGTCTTCGGTGGATCCTAGGCACCGGGTGACATGAAATCCACGGATTACAAGTTGACTATAATTTTTAGTCTCTAATATCACAGCAAGTTGGTATGTGAATACAATGACAGATCGCGAGGGCAATGTTGCATGTAATAAAAAATACGATTCTATCGACAACATCTTTGCTTTAGGCGCCCGTCCCATGGTTAATGGTTGGTTTTGGTGTCTTGCGACTCGTGAGGCGATCTTTCTTATCGAGGGTTTTCACCATCATCGTACTCATCTTCCCACCATTGATCGTCCGCGTCCTTAGGGCATCTCCAGCCGTTGGCCCCTCCAGGACGCATAAAAATAGTCCCCTGGGGGCGAGCCGGCGATGCACTCGGCGCTGGGGGTGGGTTTGCGCCCAGTCGTCGCCCCCAGGCGCCGAAATTGGCCCACTTTGCAGCCTAATTTCGGCGAATAAACGGCTCATATGAGCGAGAATAGGACCATATTCGGCGTGGTTTCGCCGTGTCATTATCAACACAATTATTTCTTATCACATATTTCATCACAGAAAAATCAAATACTTCAACAAAATACTACAACAACAAATAATTCAATACAAATTATATTGTTCAACAAATAAAAACTCGTATTTCATCACGAAGCGTCCCCCTTGAGCCTCCATAAGTGCTCAATCAGATCTTTCTGCAGTTGATGATGCACCTGTGGGTCTCGGATCTCCTGACGCATACTGAGATAGGCAGTCCAAGTTGCCGGTAGCTGGTGATCAACTTCGGCTAGAGGACCCTGCCTGTAGTATGGTTCAGTGTCAATCACTGGGTCTTCTTGCTCGCTCTCGATGATCATGTTGTGCAAGATGACACAGCAAGTCATGATCTCCCACATTTGATCTTTCAATCAGGTCTGAGCGGGGTACCGAACAACAGCGAATCGAGATTGGAGCACACCAAATGCCCGCTCGACATCCTTCCGGCAAGCCTCCTGAACTTTCGCAAACCAGGCGTTCTTGCCTCCTGGCACAGGGTTTGAGATCGTCTTCACAAATGTCGACCATCTCGGATAGATGCCGTCAGCTAGATAGTACCCCTTGTTGTATTGGTGCCCATTGATCTCGAAGTTCACCGGAGGAGAATGGCCCTCAACGAGCTTGGCAAAAACAGGAGAGCACTGCAGCACGTTGATGTCATTGTGAGTTCCTGGCATACCAAAGAAGGAGTGCCAAATCCAGAGGTCCTGTGTGGCTACCGCCTCAAGCACCACACTGCAACCGCCTTTGGCGCCTTTGTACATCCCCTGCCAACCAAATGGGCAGTTCTTCCATTTCCAATGCATGCAGTCGATGCTTCCAAGCATCCCAGGAAATCCTCTTGCTGCATTCTGGGCTAGGATCCGAGCAGTGTCTTCCGCATTGGGTGTTCTCAAGTATTGTGGCCCAAACACTGCCACCACTGCCCGACAGAACTTGTAGAAACACTCTATGCTGGTGGACTCGGCCATGCGCCCATAGTCGTCGAGTGAATCACTTGGAGCTCCATATGCAAGCATCCTCATCGTTGTCGTGCACTTCTGGATGGAGGTGAATCCAAGAGCGCCAGTGCAATCCATCTTGCACTTGAAGTAGTTGTCGAACTCCCGGATGGAATTCACAATCCTAAGGAAGAGCTTTCGGCTCATCCGATAACGGCGCCGAAATGTTCTCTCGCCGTGAAGTGGAGCATCGGCGAAGTAGTCGGAGTAGAGCATGCAGTAGCCTTGCAGACGATGTCGGTTCTTTGCTTTCACCCGCCCCGGCGCCGAGCCACCTCGCCGCGGCTTTTCACTGCTCGCCAGCAGCTGGGTGAGGGCGGCGAGCACCATGAGATGCTCTTCTTCCTGGACGTCGGCCGCGGCTTCCTCCTCCAGCAGCGCGGCGAGCTCTTCCTCCTCATTCGAGTCCATCGCCGAGGCAGGCAAAACGCCGAACACCTTGCGCTCGATGGGCGTGTACCCGCCGTTAAACCGCGCCTCCACGGCCGGAAACGGCGGCCGGAAACGCCCAGCTGCTGTGGGAGGGGCTGCCGCGGTGAAGTGCTGCTATTTTCCGGCGGGGAATGGCTATCTAGCGGAGTAGGGCGGCGGCCGTCGCCGGGATATAGCTAGTGGTGGTCGAGGGCGCGGGGGGTGCGAGGCGAGTCGGGGGAAGAAAACCTTGACTTTTCCCCTGTCGGTGTGGGCCAGGCGTGCTTTTCCCTAGCTCTGGAGCCCCCAACGGCTCCCCAGCGTGCCGGGTTCGGCCTGTGACCGCCGGGCGGAAAAAAGGTCCGAACCGGCGATTTTCGGCGTCCTGGGGGCACGACTGGGCCGTTTTTTCGGCGCCGGCGCCGAAAAAATGGCCTGGGGGGCCTGTTGGGTGCGCGGCTGGAGATGCCCTTAGTCGTTAGGGCTCCCATCATAAACCTTTTTGTGTGTGCTAGGACATGTGATCGTACACCACTTGCTCTTCCCTAGTTTTTTTTATATCGTTTTTGTTCAGGTGTCGAGGCGTCGGAGATTGGAAAGGTAGAATGCATGCTGAAGAGCATGAAGCTCTTGGAGAGGGAGAGTAATAAGGGCATCAAGATTGGATGGGCTGGATCTGATAAGATGGGAATGATGGAACTTGAAGCCCTGCCAATCTCATATCGGATAAACCTATCTTTGTGGAGGACATGATGAAGACCTTGGGCAGGATTTGGTGCCGAATGGGGGGCATGGAGTGCAAAGAGGGGATGGGGATCCAGTGACTTGCCTCTTCGCAGTCATGGTGTAACATGCGCCCACCCATCTATCGTTCGTTCCTGATCGAAGGGAAACCAACGACTGAAGACCAAAACTGCCCACTTAGCAACACACTGGTCACCAGGGTGGAAAAACGATTCAAACTTGGCCTTTTATGAAGCATTCAACGGTAGCAGCCGGCAAAACAATAGCGGCCACAAATTAGCAAGTTTAGCTAGATGTAATTAGCTCATGAGGCTATAAGCTCCTTGCCTGTAAATGATGTAGCCCTGTCCAATGAATAAAGAGGATTTAACTAGCAAAAAATACAGTGGTCTGTTTGCCGGAATGGAAAGTACATGATCATGTGTTTCAATAAAAAGTACATGACTTTCTATCAAAATGGTTATGAAATCTAATCTAATAAATTCATAATCTTTTTCCTTCTGCGCTATATTTCCTTTTTCTTTTCTTTTTGCCTATTTTCATTTTCTTATTTTTTTTTCAATCCGTAAATTTCAAATTTTGAATCAATTTTAAAAAATCGATATTTTAAGAAAAACTGGTTCCATTTTTTACACATTTTTTAAAAAACACGTGTTTTCCAATAGATGTTCAAAATTGACAAAACTGTTCACATTTTGCAAAAACAAAATCATGAAATTATTTGCGGATTTAAAAAAAATATGAATTGTAAAAATATAACTATTCAAAAATATGTATAAGAAATATGTTAAAATGTTTAAGAAATGTTTCACATGTATTTGAAAAATGTACAATGTGTATAAAAAAAGTTGAAAGCAAAAGATATATTTGTACAAGTGTTAAACATTTATAAAATAATGTTTCACATGTATATGAGAAAAAATGGCAGACATAATATATATATATATATGTGTGTGT